GAATAAGAATAAGAATAAGATATCCGAAGATACTGTTTAATTTGTATTTTGAGTCTATATTCAGAGAAACATTAGACGAGGTCCAAGGCGGAATTAAGATTAACAGAATCAGCAGGGACAACATCAGATATGCTGATGATACCGTCTCAATAGCAAGTAATGCACAAGAACTACAAAATATAATAAATGCGGTAGTTCACTACAGCGAAATGTTGGGTTTACATCTAAACGTTTCCAAAACTAAAACTTTAATATTTTCAAAGACACGAATAAACGTACATGTGTATGCCAAAGGTCAAATAATAGAACATGTAAATTCCATAAAATATTTGGGAGTAAATATCAATAGTCAGTGTAATCCAAAAAAAGAAATCCTATCAAGAATCGAACAAGCAAGTAAAACATTCATGAACATGAAAACATTCTTTACAATATTACACCTTAGTCTGAGCTTAGAATCCGAATGATCAGATGTTACGTTTTTTCTGTCTTACTGTATGGCTGTGAAAGGTGGACTCTGAAATAGAAAAAAGAATAGATGCCTTTGAGATGTATATACATTGATGAGTGCCTTACCATCCGGCTTTTTAACGTAAGAGATAAAAAACACAGTTACCTTGTGAAATAAAAAGAGATGAAACTCGTAGAGGTGGGAAATAATCGATAGAAACCTATAATTTACATTACATTACATTACCACTATCGATAGTCTCACACCTTTAGACGTGGCTATTTGACTTTAGTCATAATTATACGGATAACCTCGAAAATATTTTATTTTAATAATTTCTGATGTTAGAATAAATAATTGAATACATTAAGATATATTATTATTAAAAACATTAATTAGTAGCAATTTTAAATTATAAATCTTTAAGGTTATTTAATAATAAAAATAACTCAACTCAAATATTTGACTAAAGAAAAGGTAAGTATGTTCTGTCCGAAAACAAATAATTTATGTGGAATTGGTGTAATAGTTAGAGACGTGGTTTATTGACAAGAAGGTTTGAGGGTCAATTCACATCAAGGATAAAATTTTTGTTTTGTCGGAAACTTACACTAATTATTCAGATCTTCAGCTGCAGCCTTTAAATGTTCAAATATTTTTCTTTTATTTTTTAATGTTTTCTCAAACCATTCTTCATTGCTGCTCATGGTGACTGCTGCGATTATAGTTCTAACATCAAGCAAAAAAAGTTTGCAAAACTATACGTGTCGTATAACGCTAAATACACTAAATATACCGTTAAATATCATACTTAGACGTATCAAGCAAACAGTATACACTTATTACAACAAAATGAAATATAGAAACGACATATTTCGGGTGTAATTTCGTTATGAAAATAAGCAATACCCTTCCTCCTTCCCTTTTGACAGTTATCTACATGTAACAATCTGTCGGAAAACAGCATTTACCATATTAAATGCTACAAAACAACCATGCTCCACACTTCACAAATCAGCTACCTATTTTACTTTTACAAGAAATAGTTTTACTGGGAATCAAGTTCAAAAAATAGTTGTACGATTACTCGGAATAAGCAAAAAAAGCAAACTATTTACTGGTTAGATTGCTGTTACATATTATCACATCGATACTTGTCACATAATCATTTTTTTTAGTTGTTTGCTTAAAATATATGTATCACTGCCAACACGGGCGTTAAAATCAGCAATGATGATTATACAGGGTGTCCCATAATTAATTGGACATTAGCTAATGGGTAATAGCTGACATCAAAATAAAGCGTTTGAGCTCAAATTGCTTAGGAAAAATGTTGCTAGTTTTCGTTATATAGGGAGATTCATTAATATTTTTTTTATATTATTTTTATGGATATATTGAAAACTATTCAACCGATTTAAGTGAAATTTGGTATCTTGCTATTATTTAGTATGCTTAATAAGAAAATGATATTAGTTTTAGCATTGACACTAGGTGGCGCCACCTACTGTAACATTGGTTCATTAATGGGGCCATAATTTCTTTGTTCGCCCTGTATAAACATTCTAGGAAAAAAACATGAAACAACATTCAATTCTACACAAAAAAGGTATTCTTGTTTCAAATCAAAAAAGTACACCGTTTTCGAAATAAACGTATTTTGTTTTTCGCAAAACAAGCAGGTACCTAGGTAAAATGCTGTGAACTTAATGACAAAGTCAAGGCGTAAGTACGAATTTGTTTACTATTTGTTGTCAAAGTGCAGTGCGAGTCATTATTTGTCAAAGTGCTATTAAGTTTTTTTATAAACCACTTAAGATAAAGGAAAAATGCCACGTCATAGTGAATTTTCTAATGTAGAAATGCGCGATATGATCTGTTTGTATGCTCAGGAAAATTTTTGTTCTCGTAAAGCAGCTGAACTCTATTTCGAACTTTATCCCAATAGAAGGCAATCAAACCATAAAACTATTAGATCATTGTTCGACAGATTAGGCGAAACAGGGTCATTTCATCCCAAAAACAGGAATGCTGGAAGACCGAGAGTAATTGATGCGGATATGGAGGATGAAATTGTTGTGCGTGTTGCAGAAGATCCAGAAACTAGTACAAGGCTTCTTTCTGCGGCTACTGGTATAAGCAAATCTACGGTGTCAAGAATAATACGGACAGAAATTCTGTATCCGTATCGTTTTACTCCAGTACAGAATCTTTTACCACAGGATTTTCCAGCAAGGCTCCGATTTAGTCAGTTTATGATGGGGCGGCATTTAGACGATCCAATGTTTTATAATAAAATTTTATTTACCGATGAAGCCACATTTACTAGAAGGGGTGTATTTAACTGGCGCAATAGCCATACCTACGCGACAGAAAATCCTCATGCATTTCAAAAACATCATTTTCAACACGAGTTTTCCATAAATATCTGGTGTGGCATATTTGGGGATTGTATTGTAGGACCATTCGAATTACCAACTAGGCTTGACGGAGTAACGTATCTAAATTTTTTGAGAAAAGATTTACCAACTCTTTTAGAAGACATACCTCTAAATTTGAGACGGAACTCTTGGTACATGCATGATGGTGCACCACCACATTATAGCCTAGAAGTTAGAAATTATCTAGATGAAATTTATCCTCAAAGGTGGATTGGTAGAGGAAGTGTATACACATGGCCAGCACGCAGTCCCGAACTATATCCCCTAGACTTTCACTTGTGGGACTACCTAAAGTCACTTGTTTATATAAAAAAATAAATAACCGCCAAGAGTTATGGCAAAATATTGTAGAGGGAGTTAACGTAATTAAGGCCCAAAGAAACTCATTATTTAAAATAAGACAAAACTTACACAAAAGATTTAGATTATGTAGTTTATCTAATGGTGCACATTTTGAACACTTATTGTAATTTTTTTTCGTTTCGTTTTGAATTATCCACTTTGTTAATTGTTTTATATTCACTTCATTGTTTAATTTCATTTCTGATTTTTTTAAAATTTGTTACTGAGTCAAAGGTTTAATAAAAATAATTGTTTCAATCATATGCATTTTGTCTGCAAATTTGCATTTGCATTTAAAACCTTTTGAATAATGTTTGAATTTACAAGTTTTTGTAAAATTTTTTTATTTTATGCACGTCTCTAAAAAATACGTTTATTTCGAAAACGGTGTACTTTTTTGATTTGAAACAAGAATACCTTTTTTGTGTAGAATTGAATGTTATTTCATGTTTTTTTCCTAGAATGTTTATACAGGGCGGGAAAAAAAATTATGGTCCCATTAATGAACCAATGTTATAGTAGGTGGCGCCACCTAGTGTCATCGGTAAAACTAATATCATTTTCATATTAAGCATACTAAATAATAGCAAGATACCAAATCTTACTTAAATCGGTTGAATAGTTTTCAATATATCCCTATAAATAATATAAAAAAATATTAATGAATCACCCTGTAGAACGAAAACTAGCAACATTTTGCCTAAGCAATTTGAGCTCAAACGCTTTATTTTGATGTCAGCTATCACCCATTAGCTAATGTCCAATTAATTATGGGACACCCTGTGGGATCTCGTTTATTACAGTCTGAAGGTGTTCACAGTTTTCCTTTGTGGCGGTATCTCTGTTGTTCATTCCTATGTCATTTGAATTGTTTTCTTTGCCTTTTAGATCTACTCATATCGTGCCTCATACACTGGACTGTTTGTGAATTTTCCATCTGCTTAAAACACTTTCGGGAGGATATTTCCCTGCTAGTTCTCCTGCAATTACTTTTTCTGTCTTTTTTTGTTACCTCTTATAAAAATAGTTCTAGCCTTGTCTTTCTTGTCTTTCCGATGTAACTATATAGTGCATCATTCACTAAACTGCCAGTTATTTCCGCATCTGTGTATACGACTTCAAGCAGGATATTTTCGTATTAATTTTCCATGATTTACTTTTTCTTAGTTTTTTTTTGCGTTCATTCCTATGACCTTTTAATAGTCTTTTTTGTCTTTTAGATATGTCCATAGACCACACACTGGACAATGTTAAGTTTCCAACTCTTTGATGGCCTTCCGGAAAATTTTCTTTTATCTGCTAGTCTTTGTTTTATTTCTTTTTTGTAAAGCTTTGTTTTTGTTTAAGAGACTTCTGGAACAATCATCTCGTGATGGTTTATTCTACATGGCAATTTTACTTACTGCATCACGGCACCAAAAACAAAACCACTTTTATATCGATCTGAAGAGAGCAAACACCAACATTCTTTTGTAAGTTAGAAACTAATAATGAAAAAGATTAACAAACATCAAAATTTGACCGTTTTGTTCAAAAATAGCCGTATCAATGTCTGATATGTAATCAACAATCTATAACTTCATCAAAAACTTGTAAATATTATGTACAAACTACGCCGTACGGGGAATTACTTGTACTGAACTTTTAACAGTGTGTTTTTTCGAGTGTTATATATGTTAAAACATTTCGAGATGTTCCGTGTAAAGTGTGAATGTGTGATCGAACAAAAGAAAATTTAACATGCCACAAAAAATCCTTTAACTCACCTTTGGAATGTTTGACGTTTGACGTAGTTGTCTCGCACGAATTCGATTATTTGTTTCTGGGTTTTACCGCTATACCTGAAAGATAATAAGAGGTTATCGTCATTTGGCGCCCTTTTAAAAAATTTCAGTAACCCACCTAAACGAACTACCTCTCGATAGTACTCTTGTTTTGTGTCGTGAAACATGTTTGACTGAAGAACATCGGAAAAACCCGTGATTTTCCACGCACTTTTTCCAAAAATTTTTACATTCGTTTCTACCCTCGAAGAAAAATTCGACGGTGTCTTTATAATAGCCCTAAAAACACAAAACAGAAGTTAGTATGCAAATGATAGCAAAAATGGACATTAAAGCACTTACGTATCCCTCAGGGTGAAGTTTGACGAGAAATCGTTTCCGTTTGAAGGATATTTTCCTAATTTTCGCCCAGGAAAACGTGTTGATTTTGGTATAATTTTGAAAAACTATGATACCCATATGAGCTACGGCCAGATTCAACGGTACGTTTTCGTGGTCTTTGGCAGGGTGCATTTTAACTCCGTATAATTCGCATCGGCGCGCTGTTTCTAATAGGTTTAGGTCCGCTTCGGCAGGCGACTGGCCCCTAAGATAATAAAATATTTCGATAAAGTAACTATATTTACAATTCATCTATTTATAAACTATAATATCAAAAAATTCAATTTATTAACGAAGGATGCACTAACATTTCAAATGACTCCAACGTATCCGTATTTGAAATCGTTTATGTACATATTTTAGTATACTTACGCATGTTTTTTGTGATTCTCCATGATCTTCCTCTCCATTTCGTGGTCCTGTTGGGGCACGAACTTGTAACTGGAAAGGTAAGTGTGGTCGGGATAATCTTCGGCAACGTAGTCTCCGCATTCGGCTTGAACGATGTAGCTGGCCATAAGGGCTGCGGTGTTCTCGTTACACTGCATGCTTCCCTGAGACAAGTCCCTTTTCACTTGAAGACAGAACAGGTATCGGGTGTATTCTTCTTCCAGTTGAGCGGGATCGGGGGTGTAGAACTTGACGCAGAAGTAGAGGAGGGGGTCGACCAGCGACAAGCCCAGCTGGCGGGAGATGGGTTTCTGGAGGTCCAACCAATACTGAAATCGAACGAAACTGACAATATATCAACATGCAAACATTTGTAATATATTGGAATGGATAAATTATCTACTATGCTTCTATCAAAGATGCTTAGATTAATGTTTATCCACATTTACGTTAACTTTTTTAGATCTTTCGTTTTGTATACTTTTTAGTTCATTTGGAAGAGAATTATAGTGCCTTAGTACCCTAGTGTCTGAACAGACTATAATACATGATTTAGTTTAAAGGTCATCAACAAATATATATGGAGGAGTCCAATAACAGGGTTTGTGTGAGTTATACAGTTTTGGGGAACCTGATATTGTAAAACGTATTAAATTAGCACGCCTTCGATGGATAGGACATGTAATTAGGCGAGATGAAGATGCAACTATCAGAAAAATTTTCGACCGAAGATGACCAATGGGAAGACGATCCATAGAAGTCGAACATAGAGGATGATGTAAAATCCATCGGAGTTAAACCATGGAGAAGAGTTGCCACAGACAATGACGAATGGAAGATTGTTCTGAAGAAGGCTTTGGCTCATGACGAGCTGTAATGCCACATGATGATGATGATGAAAGGTCATCAACAAATACTTGTAAACTATTGGAACTTGAAACTGACCAATATTTTTTCAGATTTTACCATTTTTTTTAATGTTCTCGATATATTCCATATTCTGGATCATCACAATTATCTCGCTTTGGATTTTTTGCTATTGCCATTTGATCTCAGTTGTCCAGATGGTTTAGTTTGTTTTGTTAATCACAAAGGTCATTAGAGGAGTAATGACAATTACAATAGGTGTTCAAAGTATGAATTTAGGTACATTGTATTTTACTTAGGGGTCTACAGCGAAGTTAGCACCCTACTGATAGATTTTGAAACCATACAGCTCATAGAAACAGGATTATGCCTCGGAACAGGAATGATTTTTTTACGACGACTAACGCGAAAAAGAGGACAGCGCCTTTATGGAAAACAAGAAATATACTTCGCATCTGTAATTGGAATGTAAAGTCTCTAAACATAAGAGTACAGGAAATTACAAAAGAGCTTGTAGAAAAAAATATAGACATATGTACACTGCAAGAGACGAATAAAAAAAGGAAAGGGTCAAATTATGCTAGATGACTATCTGATGATTTACAGTGGTATTACGAAAGAAACCAGAGCCAAAGAAGGAGTCACCCTATTAGTACACAGAAAATTATTACAGCAAGTACAAGAATGTAAATATACCTCTGAAAGAATAGTAAGTGCTGGATGTCAATCTAGACAACAGAGAACAACAGATATACTACCAGAGCCAGTGAGGTCAACTGCGATGTGTATGCATGTTTCATTGATTTCGAGAAGCCATTTGACAAAGTACCACATGGGAAACTAATCGATATCCTAAAAACATCACCCCTCGATGATATAAGACTGATCTCATACTTATATCTCCAACAAAAAGCAACAGTACGATTAGAAAATGAACTGTCCGACATCTTCACAATCGAAAAAGAAGTTAGATAGGGTTGCGTATTGTCACCGGCATTATTTAACATATACTATTGTATAAGTGTATATGTGTATTTAACATATACTCTTCAAATTGCAAGAAGACAAAAATACTGATCATTAGTAAGAACACCAAAATAAACGCCCAAATTACAATGGCGATACAACGTTAGAAAGAGTGGAAAATATGCTATTTGGGCTGAAATATGAAGGATACTTGGGATCACAGCTACGAAATAAAAACTCCCATTGAAAAAGCCAGAGGTTCTTTCAACCGCCTTAGGAAGATTATCTGCAACTTATCTGTAAGTATCAATATACGCATAAGAATTCTTATATGCTACGTCTTTAGTATCCTCCTCTATGGATAGAAAGCTGGAGCCTTACAGAAGATGCCATAAAACGATTGGAGGCATTTGAAATCTGGTGCTACCGACGTATGTTGAGGGTCTCATATATACACCACACAAGTAACAACTACTCTTCAGAGGCTAAGAAAAGACAACGAAATTAGTAACACCGTGAAAAACAGAAAATTGGCTTATTTCAACCACATCATGCGTAATGATGAATACAGACTTCTACAGTTGATTCTACAAGGCAAGATTGAAGGTAAGAGAGGCCCTGGACATAGACGTGTATCCTGGTTCACGTCAACGGATCTATCTCGAGCTGCTGTGAATAGAATGATGGATCAATGTCTCTAGAACATCTCTAGAAGATAGGCACATTTAGAAGAAGATTAATCCGCCAATGAACAAGCAGAATTGCTTATAAATAGTAGGAAGAAGAAAAAGACTCCAGGCACTAAAGACTTCAATCCATCCTACTTCAAAACAATTGTCATTTGTACTGTGATTCTCTTTAGAAGAACCGTAGAATGTCGCACAATCGAGAATGTACTCGATTCATTCCATCAGATGCATCTTCTCCAAAAATCCACTAGTCCAGGAAATATATAACATCTTTAACCAACTATATTCTGCTAAGCTAACAGTCATAATTATTTGGACTCCATCTCATGTTAGTATATTGGGAAACGAAAAGCCAGACCAGGCCGGTAAAGCAGCATGTTCTTCTGACTTAGCCTTCAAAGAGGTCTAAACTTATACGGATCTTGGATAGATATGGATATTGATAGATATTGAATATAGAAGATATTGATAAAATAAAAAAACCTCAGGTCTTGGGCAGTACTATGGAATAAAACAAAAACTAAGCTGCATGGCGTTCCTGTCCTCTATGAACAGGAAAGAAAAATCAGTTACTCGTCGACTACGAATAGGACATACATGTCTCACACATGGACACCTTATGACATCAAAAAACTTTCCAGTATGCCTTTACTGTAATATCCCCCTTTCCATCAACCACGTGATAATGGACTGATGTCAGTATGATTCTTCTATAAACAAGCACAAACCATGTCTTCTAGATTTCCACAAAGGAAATCTAGAAGACATTATTAGTAACAATAAAACACTGAAAACTTTGTTTTCAAACTTCCACAAAATTTATTTTAAATCTTATCACTACAGCTGTTTCGGCTGATTGCCTTTCTCAAGTGATCTATTTTTGGCTTGGGTTTACAAATTTATAGTCTCTAATGAAATTGGTTGAGGAAGGGAGAACTGTTTGTCTCAAGTTGGTCATTCAGAATTATACATTAGACATTATTAGTGTTCTAAACCGTTTTGACAATGTTCTTAAATATTTAAAAGAACCATGTTTAATTCAGCTAATATAAACAGTGCATAGTGATAAGTTTTATTGTTCAACTTTTCCACAAAAAAATTTCAAATCAAATGCTTGTATATAAAATATGTATTTTTCGTGATTAATGATTATTATTTGTAACTGAATGACAAATATTTTTAGCCTTTGACTTAAGTTTTGTTACTGCCCGGATAAAATATAGTTGTTTTGTAAAATGACTAGCTCAAAGCATATACATAGTTTATTTTACATAGGACATTGCCGATGCTTTGTATTCCAAAATGAAAGATAGGTCAATATCATGCTGTAAATACTCACCTTCGTTCCATGATCATCTGAGTATTCTAGACCAAAGTAATCGGCTTCTAATAAGTGCAACTGCTTACAGACTTGTTCGAATAATACTCGTCCAACTGCTTTCGCCTGCAACAAAAATAGTTTTATGTAATTACTACCTATTAATGTTTATCAAAAATGACTAAGTTAAAATATTGCGAAGGCAAACTAAAGCTATGTCATTGACATCTGAGGAAACGACAACTATTGAGGTATAAATTTGCCAAATACATCTGCCATGAATACGTAGAAATCAGAGTCCGCCTTAAAAAAATCCTCCTCATGCTAGGTTGATTTTTTTTAAATTCCGTCTAATAAACCAGAGCGTTCTCAAAATCTTTTTAAAGAAAATCCCGGAAAATCCTTTATTCACACTCGAACTGATTTTGCCATGAGCTTAGTGAATATATGGCGAGGGGAAGGTATGGTATTAATTTAAAAAACAATATTATTGAATTGTGGACAAAAAAGTTTTTATGAAATCTACAATATCTAATTATTATACTCTGTTGAAAATTATTGATAGTGATAATAGTTTAAAAGTAATTCATTGATTAGTGAAGTTCTAATCCGACTTTTTTAACAGATAATTATTAACAAACTAGTGATTTTGAGCGTCACCATGCGACGGGGGATCCAATCAACTGCATCTACAGTCACTCCACTTAATTTTATTTGTCTTCCTCCTATGTAAGGCTAGGACGACAATAGAATAATATTTTAATCTAGTGTACAACTTTCATAATAAATAAGTCATTTTTGGAGAGTCACTAAACTTTTTAGTGAAATAGATTCGGGTCCGAGGGCAATAAGATGGATGAAGAGAATTAGATGATAAGTGACGAAAGTGAAGAAGAAAGCAGTAGTGACGAAAATGATGAAGAAGACGAAGGTACATACCAACCAGGTATTTGGTTTCATAACGATGGAACTTTTTTATCACGTTTTTCGGTTCCATCAGAAAAAAAAGTCGATTGTACTTTTCCTCATACCATGACTGAAATAGAAATATTTCTAAAAGTCTTTCCCAGGAGCCTAAATCGACATATTGCACATTGTACGAACTTATATTTAGAGAAATTTGGAAACGAAACCAAGAAAAAAAGAATTCCTACTAATGAACATGAAATGATGATGTATTGGTCACAAAATGATCCTTGCCAAAATGTATTGCTGTTTGGTAAAGCCTGACAAAGCGAGAAAATCATATTACATCGAGGATGTCGCTAATTGTCTAAAACTAACATTTCCAAAATATCGAACAGAGGCTGCTTTTCAAAGCATTGATAAGTCAATGGCGAAATTTAAAGGAAGGTCTTCCCTGAAACAGTTTCTACCCATGAAACCCATCAAACAGGAAATAAAGATATGGATACGAAGCGACACTGCAACAGGATATGTCTACGATTTTAATATTTACGAGGGAAAGGAAACAGGAAATGATACTAGTTTATTATTGGGAGAAAGAGTAGTGACCAAATTAGTTAGTACTATAAGGGCAACTGATGTATTATGTTTTGACAGATTTTTCTCATCTATTAGACTACTTGATACTCTATCTTATCCAGCGATAGGAACAATAATTGAAACGAGTGGAAATGTACCTAAATTTGTTGGGAAGTTGATTCGTGGTGAATCAGAATTCAGAGTAAATAACCACGGCACCCTAGTTTGTAGATGGCAAGATACTAAAGACTTGTTAGCAGTAAGCAATTGCTTTGGAGATTAGCAAGTAGAAGTGAAACGAAAAATGAAGGATGGCTCTAAAATGAATGTGCGATGATGTGTGATGAATGAACTGCTCGACATGTACAATAAAAAAATGGGCGGCGTGGACCTAACAGATCATATTTTGGGCTTGTATGACTTTGATAAGAAGTCTACTAAATGGTGGAAGAAAGTATTTTTTCGCTTTCTGATAATGGCTGTTGGTAATTCTCATGTATTACACAATGATCTAAAAAGGAAAAAAACACAATTTTTGCATTTTCTAATTAGTGTAGCTCAGGGACTTTTTTCATTGGGAAGAAGCTATGCTGCCGTTAAAAGAAAAGCCTCGACATCACTTAGACGTCCTCCAGCAAAGAAAAAAAATGTTCAACGTGGGAGATCATTTACCTATCGAAGGAAAGAACCGTAGAAGATGTCAACGATGTTCTTCTCACAAAAAAGAAAAAAGAACCACCACACTATGTCAGAGCTGCAATGTACCCTTGTGTAAAACATGTTTCGCACCTTTTCATTTACATTAAATATTGATCTTAGTTTTAGTCGTTTTATTTTCAAAATATGAGATTTTATTTGTGTTTTCAATTTTTCTTTACTAAAATAAAGTAATAATTTGGTGTCTGATGGGTTATTATAGTCCCACATATGTGTTCCAAATATGTCTGACTGGGACATATATGTCCCGGACAAACTGGCGGATCTCAAGGATAAAATTAATTTCAATCACTTTTATTTTTGCATAATTATACGTTTTAAACAAAAAAAGTTTTAAATTCCATACCAATCCTGAAAAAAAATCCGACTCGAAAGGGTTAAGAGCAACAAACTTTCAAAAGAATAAAAATTAAATTTCAAAAACAACAAACTTTTTGCGTGAAAGAGCCGGTATTTTCACCTCCAGATAAAAATTGTTCTATCTGACAGATAAATGTACTAGAATAATTAAGAGAAAAGACGATTTGGTGAAGGTGCCTCCTCATGTTATCAACCTAGTCATTTTTGACACTTTTCAAGATCACGCGTCAAAAAAGCGCTAAGCTTTATTCTACTCATATTTGAGCAGAATAAGAAGCTCGAGAGAAGAATAACGTGTGAAGTATGGTTGAATAGGGAAAAGTGGGGAGAAACACAATTATATAAAAAAATCAAAGATGGCGGCATGCCACGATGAACACCTCTGTGGTAATGGTCCAATGGTGACGTGCGACATGTTCCATGATAGGGTTTCATAAATCCAATACGACGGCATAGATAAAATTTAAAAAATGATAATGCCGTTTTAGCAGTAAGCCGTAACTTACGGCATGCATATATCGCGTGATAGAGTTTCATGAATACAACACAATTACATATATTGAAAACGATGAAAAATATGACGCAGAAGCGTTATTTAAAATAAATGTTATTTGTTGTCACGGAATATAAGAAAAGTCATTAAAATTCAGCATACAATCGATTTATTGGCACGTTAATAAAACAATGTGTTAGATAAAAATCAATAAAAAAGGAAAATTTAACAAAAAATCCGTAAAAATGTAAAATTCCGAGGAAATTTTCCAAAATCTCTTTTAAATAAAACAAAGTAAAAAAATGTTTTTCTTGTACATTTTCAATTCTAGCTTAATATTTCAAACTTCCTTTTAACAAACAATATTATATTTCCACAGTCTATTGGTAAAATGATATACCCCCCTTCCCTACTTCATTCGACGCTCATGCCTGATGTGAATTCCGTCGAAGTATCTCCATGTCCGAATCTTTCCGAGAAACGGTTCCTATACAAATGGAAATCTTTATTTTTTCGCTGTAAAGATACGATCCTTCTACGAAAAGTTAAATAGTCATATCTCGTTCGTTTTGCGGAAATTAAAGAAAAAGATAAAGGAGAAACAGAAAACGTGAATAGATGTGGTGTATTTTAGCGCTAATTTGAATTTTTGAATGAATTTGCAGTAAACGATAAGTAATGTGTTTTGTGTAAACACTTAAATAGTTATTAAATTTTAGAGTTTATTTCATCTAATATTGCTTTTTAATTAGTAAGGAAAACTGTGTTTTGTCATATCAATTTCTATTGCGAACTAATCTGTGTTCGGAGATAATTTTCCTCAGTACATTTCTGTTATAGAATTTTCCCATATATTGAGTTCCACGTAATTTGTTGTTTTGTCTTATTAAGATGACTTTCGTCGTCCTATAGCAGATTGTGATTTTTTTAAATTTTTTTTGTGGACATTGAATGAGTCGAGGATTCTGTGTAGTTTCCTCACATTCTTCTCTATATATTAACACTATATGCAGTCATAATATATTTCTCTTCTTCTTCTTTTTATATAGACATGACTGTCTGTTTTTTAATGTGCCTCCAGTAAGTTGTCATTCCATCGTTTTCGTGGTCTTCCTACCGATCGTCTATTGGGGAAACATTTCTTGCCGTCTTTTCAACCCTATTTGTTGTCATTCGGCTTATATGATCGTTCTATTCTACTCTTCTATTTCTTACCCAGTTCTTGATGTTCTCCACCTTGCATCTACGTCGTATATCTTTACTTCTAGCTCTATCCCATAGTATCTTACCATCAATTTTGTGTTTTCATCTCTGCTGTTTCTAATATCCTTTTTGCCCTCTCTGTGTCAGGTCTTGTTTCTGCCGCGTATGTCATTATTGGTCTGATGACTTTTGTAAATTCTGCCTTTAGTTTCTTTCCTGATATTTTTTATTTTTCCATATTGTTCCATTTAGGGAGCCTGCGGTTCTGTTTGCTCTATTAACTTGATCTTCCACTTCGGTTTCGAGCTTTCCGTAGCTAGATAATGTGATGCCTAGATATTTAAAGAAAAAGACGTGTCTTTCTGTTTTATCGACTACGAAAAAGCGTTTGATCAAGTAAAAAACACACATAACTCATAGAAATCCTAACACAACATGGTATAGACCATACCACTGTAGCACTTATTAAAAAACTATATTTGGATCAAATGGTGTCGATCAAAATAAACAATCGTCTAAAAGCAGAATTGCTAATAAAAAGAGGAGTTCGTCGGGGCTGTGTACTTTCTCCACTGTTATTTAATATATATTCAGAAAAGATATTTCAAATGCCCTCAAAAAATATTGAAGAAGGAATAAAAATCAACGGAGAATACGTAAACAATTTAAGATACGCAGACGACACCGTCATTATTGCGGACAGTGCTACAACGGTAGGTTTACAACGTCTTTTGAATGTCATAACCAGAGAGGGGGATAGCTTGGGACTAAATATAAACACAAATAAAACCAAAGTAATGGCTGTTACACGTGCACCAAATGTAGACATTAATATTCGTATCTATAACAAAAATATAGAACCAGTACA